TTAATTTACATTAATAAATACCTTCGCAAGGAATTTCCGTTTTCAGAATAATCAAATTTATTTTGTGCACAACAAAACAATTGCGCAAAGTTTTTTGCTTTGTTGCCTCTGCTTTCGGCTTCGTAAATGCCTCGGCCCGCGTCGAGTCGAGCGACAGAATACACCAACAAAATATGAAGTCTGGTGACGATAAGAGGTCCAGGGCCGGATTAGCCGTTGCCTAGGGCCCCCCCTAGGACTAACAGAAAAATTTGTTGAAAAAACAAAACTCCAAATAATGAATATAAAATATAATAGCCGATAAACATACAAATTAATCACGCAAACATAAAATTGTTTAGTGTTTTTTTTCAAATGAAAAAAGAAGTGAGCTGGCTTGTAAAAATGGAGGTCCCCAGATTGATGGTTGCCCAGGGCCCGGCTGAGGGTTGATCCGGCCCTGAGTAGGTCGAGTTTGGCTTTAAAGTTGTTATTTGTTTGTATTGTGTGTATTTACACTGTGCGCAGCTGCTGAGCTATGTGAACCAAAATGACCTTCTGATAGATTTCGGGATTTACATTTTTTTTTAAGAATTGTTTTGTTTTATGGTTTAGTTTTTTTTTAAAATCTGTTATTTTTTTCATTTTTTTTTCAGAGATATTGTTTCTATTTTTCAAATAACTTAAGTATCTTATATCTGGTTGTATAGAACTTTGCAGTTCTAAAAAGCGGACAAATGCAGCTACAAATCCGACTTAGGCATTTTGTAGCTGCAGCTTAACGCCTGGAAGATATTCTTTGCTTTCAAAATCTTTACAAACTTAGGAAATTAAAAAAAAAAAAAATTCTTGGCATACATTTTAAGTCTTAGTTAGACGCATTAATTAGGCGTCGTTTAAGGTATTGTTCATTTAAATCTATGGAGAGATGGTGGAGCTATAGTTCGTTAATTTTTGATAACTGAACGTGTTCTTTGGCATTAAATGTTCTTGACAGTTACTTTTTTCTCTGTGTTTTTCGTTTTTTATTTGGTGTTATGTTGCTACAAGTTTTTAAATGTGTGTGATAAATTTGGTTTTTTACTGCTTGTTACTGTTCTTAAAATAATTTAAGTTTTGTGGCTGTCTTCCTTTGTCATTTGAATCAGATTCCCTTATGAGAGTCCACACATAGTCGCCCAACATGTTCTCATTCCAAAAACCTTGATAACGTTGTTTCATAGATTTTAATTTTTGATGAAATCTCTCTCCGTGTTCATTACTAACGTCGCCTAGGTTTGTCGGAAAAAAGTCTAAGCAGGAAATGGATTTATAGTGACATGTTGGCTCCAATTTTTTCATAATTCTCAACTAGGTCTTGAACGATATCAACGTAATCATCACTCTTGCTGTTACCAAGAAAAATGTTTGTAACCAGTCGAAATGAGTTCCAGGCTGCTTTTTCATTCGTAGAGAAAATATTTTCAAATTCTTCATCTTTTAGTAGTTTTCTTATTTGGTGACCATCAAATACTACTTCTTTCACTTTTGCCAGCGACAGACGTGGAAAAACAGCTTTAAGGTAACTCATCGATTCACCTTCCTTATCCAGTGCTCTAACCAAATTTTTCATTAGTCCCAGCTTAATGTGTAATGGTGGTAAAATAACGTCTTCAAACTTTTCGAGAGCTGTATTTTTTATGTTGTGGAACATACGGCTTTTGGTTTCCATTGTGTAACAAAGCAGCCTTTAAACTTTCCTTACTGCTGTCGACCTCCACCAAATCGTTCAATTGTTCCTGTGAAAGAGGCTTGCAATATTTATATTCTCCTGAATGGTTATTACTTGAATCCGTTGTTCCATGCGACGACATTTCCTCTTTTTTGCGTTTTAATGGCGGTGTTTCTTCTAAAGGAGGAGCAGGAAGCGTAAGGCCTTGACCAGGTTGTTTCGGGTAACCCCATTTCATGGATCTCCCGATTCCAGTTATTTTGAATGAACAAAAGAAACATTCAGAGCCGTGAATCTATGGTTTTCTCCACAGCATTGGAGTAAAAGTAACTGTCCATACCTAGGATCACTAACCATACCAGTTCCAGTTCATACACCGAACGTGTCGCAACTGAGTTTTCTGTCCCAGCACCCCCAGGTCTTCGGCTGGGGTGCTGGGACCATTCGGCTGTGGTGCTGAGTTCGGGTCGTGGGCCTGAGACGTTCGGCATTTTTTCGACATGTTCGATTCATGACGAGATGCGAAAGCAAGCCGAGAATTGCAAGAAAAAATATTTATGAATTCTTATTTTCCGAAACCGTTTTGAGTTTGTTTTGAGTTTCGTTTCCAGGTTACGTAAATGTGTGTGTGTCATGTATTCACACATACTATGCTTGTGTCTGGGCTCTACAATTTTTTTCCGCTTGAATTGAATTTCGGATTTTCGTTTTTTTTTTTTTATGTGCTGTTGTAGCGACCTGAGCTGACCTGCCGCAACATAAATGAGGATTGGGCAGAGGGGGTGGGGGTGGGAAATAAATTTAATATATACAAATAAAAGATGATATCTCTTCTCATATCTCCTAAACTAAAATTATCTTGAAAATTAGATTCGCTAAAGCTCTGTTCTACTAGGTGTGAACATTTATTTTATTCAAAGCGTTCATAAAATATTTTTAAATTTTGCCACCTCTTTTCGGCTGAGTCCCCACTGTAAATACAAACAGTACAAACAAATAAAAACTTTAAATTTTAAAGTTTAAAACCAAAATCGACCTATTCAGGGCCGGATCAACCCTCAACCGGGCCCTGGGCAATCATCAATCTGTGGCCCCAATTTTTTACGCCAGTTCCTTCTTTTTTCATTTGAAATAAAAACTTATAAATATAATGGTTGTTTAATTAATTTTAATCGGAAAAAAATTGTAGAGCCCACACAATTTTGGTTAGTTTTTGTTAAACGGCTGCCACTTTATCCATCGATTCTTTCAACCGATACCTTAAACGACGTCTATCTAAAACCAAAAAGTCATGCCAAGAAATATTTTTTGTTCGACTTTTCCTGAGTTTTTAAAGTTAAAAATTCGAGAAAAATACCGCAAAAAAATGATCAAATTTGAATTTTAAAGCTTATTACACTAGTCAACACGATTTTTCCTCAAGGAACAAAACGAACTTTTTCTTAAAGATTTGGGGCTTAGAAATGGTTTGATGATATTTTTTTTTCTGGCAGAACTTTTTTAAAGAATTTTTGAAAACTGGTATTTTTAAGCTTTTTTCAGAAGTAACGCTTGTTTTTCACATAACTCTAGTATCTACGTCTGGTTGTAAAGAACTAGCTATTTTGAAAGATAATTGAAACAGCTAGAAGTTGATGCCAAACACTTTCAGTTATCCGTCTGGGAAATATAAAGCATTGAAATGCAAAAATGATGATTTTTGTGCGGTATTTACGAAATTTGACTTAAAAACTCAGGAAAAGTCGAAAAAAATTGTGTTGTGTCCTCTTTCGTCGGTCTTAATCGTAAGGTGGCCCAAAAATTATGGAGAGCTAAAATTCGTTAACCAAACCTAAAAAATGAAAAAATGAACAAAAATACCTTTTTTAGGGGCAACTGCCAATTGGGAACAAAGCAAACGAACAAGGGTTGTACATTTGGTACCTGATCGCGTTCCTTTGTTCCCAATTGGCAGTGGGCCGCCGCCTTCAAAAAGGTATTTTTGTTCATTTCCATTTTTTAGGTTTGGTTAACGAATTTTAGTTCAAGTCCCATAGTTTTGAGCGATACCTTAAACGACGCAAATTAACCCCTTACACAAAAAAATAGAGGACACAAGATATAATTTTTTTTCTTTTAGCTTTTAAAGTCAAAATTTCGTAACAAATACCACAAAAATCTCATTTTTGCATTTCAATGCTTATATTTCCCAGACGGTAAGCTAATCACAAGATTGGGCTCAACTACTAGCTGTTTTTCTACCTTTTCAAAATAGCAAAGTTCTTTACAACCAGACGAATACTAAAGTTATGTGAAAAAAACTATCGCTACCTCTGAAAAAAGCTAAAAAAAAATACCAGCTTAAAAATTCTTCAAAAAAAAGTTCTGCCATAGAAAAAAAACCATAATTCTTTAAAAAAATTTAAAGTCCCATATCTATCAGAAAAAGTCGGTTTGGATCCTTGAGGAAAAAAAAAGTTCGATTTTGTCGAGTAGTGTTATCTTCCAGACGTTAAGCTGCAGCTACAATGTGTCTGGATCGGATTTACAGCTGCATTTGTCAACGGCAAAATTATATACAACCAGATATAAGATACTTAAGTTATGTGAAAAATAGAAGCAATACCTTAAAAAAAACTAAACCATAAAAAAAACATAATACTATACAAATTTTTAAATCCCGAAATCCATCAGAAAAAGTCATTTTGGTCCACAGCGGGAAGAAGAAGTTAAATTTTGTCTAGTGTAATAAATTACGTCGTTTACTAAGCGATATTGACGTCAAACAGGTATATTGCTTTTAAACATCTATTCAGGCTTCTAAAAAAATTATAAATATCTTATTAATACGTTTGTAATTGGAAGCAAACTATCTTGTTTCATTAAAAATGAATCAATATACAAAATGCAATATATTTCATCGAAATTGCAAAGTTTGTTGATAAGATAAAGCGATTTTACTTTTGAAAATTGTTCAACCCATTATTTGAGTATTTACTGTATATGCCAGCCCTTCATAGTTTTAAATTTTTTTTTTTAATTTTCTAAAATAACAATAGGCAACAAAATCGAATTTTTATATTCCACGAACCAACCCGACTTTTACTGATAGAATTGTAGCTTTAAAATTTTGTTATACATTGTTCTAAGATCTAAGGTCATCTATCTATACTGTAACATGTTTATACTAAATTATCGAATTCACTGTGCTGCATAGAGTTAATAACCTGAAAAGGCTTTTATTATATTTTTCTTGTTGACTTCCGATTTAAATATTCGAATGTAACTGCATATATTATGACTTAAATTCTTGATCCCTACTTCTTTACAGATTCATACAAAAGACATGGACATAGTATTATTACTAATACACGACGAGACGAACACCAAATAACTTCTTGGAATTCAAAGAAGCTGGTTGAAACAAGTTCTGCACTTCAGGTACTTCAGCAATATATGTACATACTTGCAGATAAAGATCCCAACGATTACTCGTATATCCGCAAGATAATAAAAATTATCTTTCGCATTATTCGGATTACTTCGAAGAGTTCACCAAATATGGAAATCCGCATATATTCTGCGATATCGAAATATGTGCTATCGGCAAAGGTGTCACAGACTCAAGGGTTTTCAAAATCAAAATCCCAAAAATCCGCAGCTGGCAGGAGAATTCTGACACTTTTTCGGAGACTTTCCAGACTCCTGTGAAATCACACTGTTACAAGTTTATTTAACAAATTTCGCCTTCGAAATATGTGGCATACACAATATTGAATATACGAGAAAATCGAAAACGTAAAATCATAAAGGACCATATATATCAGGTTGCCGAATCTTGAGCAGATCGGACTATTTTTATAGAGCTTATTACTCATTCATTATTACACGACTCATCCCTCCATCTGCGAGCTGCTCGGCCAGCTCTGATAACACTTCTCGACACGATTTTTCCTCAAGGAACAAAACCAACTTTTTATTACAGATTTGGGGCTTAGAAATGGTTTGATGAAATTTTTTTTTTCTATGGGAAATGCAAAGCATTGAAATGCAAAAATTATGATTTTTTTACAAACAGGCGTAAGATACATGAATTATGTGAAAAAAAGAAAAGCCTCTGAAAAATACATTAAAAAAATACCAGACTTCAAAAATTCTTTAAAAAAAAGTTCTACAATAGAAAAAACCATAATTCTTAAAAAAAAAATTGAAAGTCTCATATCTATCAGAAAAAGTCGGTTTGGATCCTTGAGGGAAAAAAATATCGATTTTGTCGAGTAGTGTAATCAGCTCGATCAGTTGCGGCGAAATATTACACTACTCGACAAAATCGAATTTTTTTTCCTCAAGGATCCAAACCGACTTTTTCTGATAGATATGAAACTTTAATTTTTTTTTAAGAATTATTGTTTTTTTCTGTCAAAATTTTTTTTCGAAGAATTTTTGAAGTCTGGTATTTTTTTAAGCTTTTTTCAGAGGTAGCGACACGAGTTTTCCTCTAGAAACAAAACCAACTTTTTCTTAAAGATTAGAGGCTCAGAAATGGTTTGATATGTTTTTTTCTATGGTACCACTTTTTTTGAAGAATTTTTGAACACTGGTATTTTTTTAAAGCATTTTTCAGAGGTAGCGCACCTTTTTTTAACTAGTGTTAATAGACGATTCGAAGAGCAGGCGAAGCACACCCATAATAGCGTGAGGCAAGCCGAATAAAGAATACTGCGTGAGATGACTGAGAACTTTGAGGATAAGCTTCATAGTCTTTCGGACGAAGTCGAACAGCTTGGGAAACGAGTGGTAGAGCTTCAAGAGAAAAGCGATACAGTCCACATTATCTCCCCTTACTTTTAATTCAGTGGTGCATGGAATGTCTCCTCTAACGGATGTCGGTTTCACTGACAACACTAGCCCACACGACATTTACGCTGTGGCCCAAAATGACTTTTTCTTATAGATTTCGGTTAAACATTTTTTAACGAATTATGTTTTTTTTAAATTTTTTTTTTGTATTTTTTTGTCTTTTTTTTTTTTAAAGAATTTGGAAAAATTTGGTTTTTTTAATGTTTTTTTCAGAGGTAGTGCTTCTATTTTTCACATAACTTAAGTATCTTATATCTTAAACGACGCCTAAAGCGTCTATCTAAAACTAAAAATTTTGCGAAGAATTATTTTTTTTCGACTCTACCTGAGTTTTTAAAGTCAAAATTTCAAATACAAAAAATACCGCAAAAAATGATTAAATTTGAAAGCTTAATATCTTCCAGGCGTTAAGCTGCCGCCACAAAATGTCTGGGTCAGATTTATAGCTGCTTTACAGAACTGCAAAGTTCTATGCAACCAGATATAAAAATTCTTTAAAAACAAATTAAACCATAAAAAAAAACAAAGTACTAAACAAAATTTTAAAATCCCGAAATCCATCAGAGAAAGTCATTTTGGTCGACAGCGGAAAGAAAAAGTTAAATTTTGTCGAGTAGTGCAATGGATGATAGTGCATGGACATCCAGTGCGAGCATCTATACAATGCTAAGAGTACTTGTGAATCAAGGAACAGGTTTGCGTGTCTGCCACATTAATTGAAACGTGGTTTTCGTCTCATGTTAGTGATGTGTTAGTAGAATGTTTTGGCTATGACCTGTTTCGATCTGATCGAGATAGTCACGCAGGAGGTGTAGCCATATATGTACATAAACGTCTAAATGCATAATGTTTGTAAACACTCTAGTGATAGTGTAGTCGAATGGATATTTGTTCAAGTCTCCGGTGCAATATACTCTTCAAAAATTTTAATTGGCTGTGTGTATAGACCTCAACGGTATATAGCATATAACAATTTAATTGACTTATTATCGACATTGACACTTACTTACACATATGTACATGTACATGTACATGTAAACATACTAGCTGGGAACTTCAACAGTAATATACTGAGGGAAAATCACTTATCGGATGACATAGAAGCTATGGGATTAAAGTTAGTAAACACATCTGAACCTACCCATTTTTCTAATTACTGTGATACTTTTATTGACTTATTTTTTTTAGGCCATAGTCATAATGTTTCTATGTTCAGTCAGCTGTCCATGCCAATTTTTTCGAAACATGACTTAATTTTCTTGACCTATACTTTTAATACAGACTTAAACGACAATAAAATAGTTTATAGAGATATTGACTATGGCTTGTTAAGTGCTGACTTAAATACACTGGGACTCTATATATAAAAATCATAAAATTGACTCACAATTGACTGTCCTCCAAAATAATATAATATACCTATATTATAGATCAGTGATGGGCACGAAAACTAACGGAAATAGCCAGACAGAAAAAAAAAAACCACCGTCGCGCCGCGTCGCAGTCATGATCCAGACAGAATGGGCGAGCAATTGCCTTTAAATTTGTTGTTGCTTGATTTTCATGTGCGTAGCCCAAGACACATGATGTGTTGTTGCAATCTCGAGATCGCGCCTTCGATGCATTTTTGCCGTCTCTTTGACGCCAAATTTCTGTGGCATTGTTTTTGTAAAAATTCACGGATCGCTGAACGCGAGCGACGACCGTCTGAGCCGACTTGCTGGCGCCTCCCGAAAAACATTTTGGAAGGAGCCGCGGGAGCTGAAAGAGCCACGGCGTGCCCATCTCTGTTATAGATAAATACCAAAAACTGACAAACCTCGTGTTAATCCCTGGTTCAACATGCAAATTAAAATACTAATAAAAAAAACGGGACACTGCATTTCGAAAATGGAAGCGGTACAAAACAAGCCAGCATGCTGAGCAGTATAATCTACTTAGGAAGAAGGTTATACAATTAAACAACTCAGAGAAACGTAAATATTTGTTTAACAAATTCATTAAGGCAACATCGAACAAGATGACATGGTCCTACATTAAGCAGCTGGATATTGGTAAATGCAACAATGAACGCATCTGTGATGTCGATCCTGATGTACTCAATGAACAGTTTTTAGACTGCAAAGTACCTGAAGTGACTAAAACTGACTATGTTGAGCACTTGCCCCAAAATCTATATAGAAACTGCTATGATGTAAACTGCTTCTGTAATAATGGTACCTGTGATAATAGTTTTAGTTTTTCATGTGTAACTGAGTCAGATGTCCTCGAATCAATGTTAAAAATTAAGTCCAATGCCACTGGTATTGATGATATAAATCCAAAATTTATGAAATTTGTATTGGCAAAAATACTGCCATACATAACCCACTTATACAAAAAGCACTGACTCAAAAGTAGCCAATATACTACCAATTCCAAATCTGCCAACGAATACAGGATAATTTCCATTTTAACTTTTTATCAAAAGTGTTAGAAAGACTAATGGCTCATTTAGACTATAGTAAAACTTTTGACACGGTTAACCTCGAAATTCTTTGTTTTAAACTAAGTCATCTATGTCATTTTTCGCGTGCAGCAACCAAACTAAAGACATTTCGTGTTTGTAATCAAAAGCTATGTCAGTGGGCAAAAATCAATGGTCTAGAATTAAACCCAAATAAGTCAAAATGTATAATCATAGGTAAAAGACAGTTCAACACTGACAATCTACAAAGATTATCCATTGAAAATATGGAATCCTTAGATCTCTATACATAACGAAAGACTTTTTACCACTGAAAATCAAACAAACAATTGCAACAATGTACAACAATGTGCAACACCAGTACTTTTATATGGTATTGAAGTCTTTAATAACTGTAATTCCGCCAGCCAACGAAAGTTGCAAAATGCTTTTAATAATATTGCGAGGCGTATTTATAATAGACATAGAACTGACCGTATTTCTGACGTAATGATATTCGATATGCCACTTAAATCCTGGACAAACCATAGGGTCTTGACATTATTGCAGAAAATTATGTACACCAAAGAACCCTGTTACCTATATGAAAGACTTAAGTTTAGCACATCAAGAAGGACCAGAAACATTCTGAAATTTAAAAACATGTACTCCTGCACAATGCGTCAATTCCTTGTATATGCTGTTCGCTTTTGGCTTTTTGGCCTTAAGGCCATAAGTGGCGCGAAGCAATTAAAAATTGCACTGGAGGAACATCTACGCACTGCCTAACTCTCATCAATAACAAAATAACTCTCCTCTCTTTCTCTCTATGTTTTTCGAAATTGAGAGATATTGTGGGCAAATTGTGAACAGCGATACCAAAAGACAGAAATATTACCGCTTGCTCTATCTTTCGCTTTCGGCTACGTATAATTACTTATAAAATATGTTTTATAGGTTAGATAAATCAGAAGCTCACATATACATATACTGACTGAGTATCAGGTATAAAGGTAGATCCCGCGGCTCACAACGTTTCCGCTCGTTTATCTTTAATTTAACACCATTAAAAGCGAATGGCAATTCTACTAGAGATATGACTAGAGCATCGGAAATGGAAATAAAAGGATATAAA